AGAAAACTTTTATTATAAAGGTTTGCGTCACGTTAAGCACGTACTTTAAACAAAAAATTCTATGATAACATTGGAATAATAAGCCGATGATTACAATAAATAAAATTATGCGTAAGCAATCTCTTGTATGTTTCAATTTATGTTGATTGACATTGAAAAAAAATGAAGGGCGGACGTCTTTCTCGCTTTTGGTTCGGGCTCGGTCGAGTGAAGTCGGACGAGTTCGGCTTGGCCGGCGCGAGACAACGCGTCACCATAGATCAGAGAGAGATTATGTTTGTCTAGTGCGTTCGGTTTTCTTTTTAAATGGTGAGGCTGATTCGATTTGATACCAAGTACTTTTGTTTCGAGACCGACTAAGTATCGCAAGATTGATTCGATGCTATAAATACTTGGTACCGAATCGAAAGTATCAAGTACCTACTCGTATTTACTAGTATCGGAATATCCCTAATGTCTAGTCTGAGTTTAAATTCTGTTGGCAACGGCCCCAAAAATTGTAAGGTTAAGTCACGTGACTCAAAACACCCAAAGCGATATGCGGCTTGGGTCGTTTGAAAGAGAAATTTTACAAATCTACTCCCGTGGAAAGATTACGGGTTGTAAAAAAAGCCAAAATTGTATATTCCGAAATCTGACGAGAAGAAAACTAGAGCTATTTTTCATAAAAAAAAACCCATTAACCTTCCCCGCGCTACTCAATACCCCGTTCGTAAGGGTATTTTTCACCGGGAAAACTATTAGAGCAATCTGTTGCGAACATATAATCTAAGGTAGCATCGCGATGGCAGTGATTGAGTTCGGAGCCTTCCATTAATGATGGAGAGCGTATGCTTTTGTAATCCCTTGTTGATTGATCGGTTATTAATTGTGGCAGCCCATAAATTTAGCGATCGTGGTATATGCGGGTATAGGTTCCGGGCATATTGAACGCGGCCGCCTCCCCGTTCCTAGGAAGTTTGAGTGGAAAAAATGATAATGGCGGCGGAAAAACAAACGCTCCCCCTCCGCGAAACCGGGATTTTCAAGGGAATTACCACTATCGTTTATAATCCAGATATCGAACATTCGCTTAATGAGTTCTTGGAGTTCGGGCTCCAAAGGGGGTGGCGGGTGTGGGGGGATCGGTTTTGGTTGTGTTTACACCGTTAGAATCTTCTTTTTTTCCGGGTCACACTAAGCAAAGGTGGATCATTTTTTACCCCCTCTAGGTTGTCGGTTAAGGCGATATAGCTAGTAGTTATGCAATCTTATAACCACAAGAAAGGTTAAATGGGGAAAGTTTTAAAGGAAACTTAGTGTATTTGACAACCGGTTTCAGTTTTACGATCGTTTGAGATTAGTTTCGTTTTTCGCCATTATATCCAAAAGAGATAAATTGACCGCTGTCAAAATGTGACATTATGGACACATTTTTTGAAGACGACTAAGAATAGCGTGTATGACATGTCTTAATCGCCGTATTGGATTTTTTAAAAAAGAGTTGAAAATTTCCAGTTCCGTGCACAAATGCATCATTGAAATTATCAATGTTGTATTTCAATAAGTAGTACGTTTTTTCTTAAAATCGTTTCTTGAAGTTTCTTGAATATTCTATAAGTAGGCCATGATTTATTTAACATAGACATAAATAAGTAAGACATAAAAAAATGCAAAAACTAGTCAACAGTTCACATCAAATTACGAACTCTCACCGTTGACTGGTGCATATGCGCTGCAGTGCTCCAGGGCTCCCAAGAAATTAAGAACCTACAAAAAAAACCATAATTAAATTGTCTAACTAAAATATTTTCTCTTATCAACATAAAATTCATTCGAATCGTTATAATGATAAAAAAACTGCGCTATGTCGCCGAATTGTTTTTTAGCCGAGCCACATTTATATTCACTGTGACCTATGGAGGTACTCTTTAATTTAATTAATGCGAAAACATTTTTTAAATATTCATACGAAAAAAAGTTAGAATTAAAAGCAAAAGGTATGACAGTATCATATTACCATTGAAAAAGTGAATGGGTTTGTGGATGTAATAAAAAAATTGCTCTATACTGTTTTCCCTGTAAGAATTGCAGGACACCTTACAATTTTTTCTGTGCATTTTTTGAAAATAGTAAGTCGGAAAGGTCGTTGCTAACTTGAACTTGAAGAACCTACAAGTTAGATACAAATTGAAACAGAAAATTGCTTCGGAAACAATTTACAAGTAATGTAATATAACACCTAAGTATAACCTGGTTATCAATTTACCGATTGGCAAAATAATGTCCATTTGCATTTTTTTCAGCAATTGGTGACTGTTTTTCGTACAACCCTAGCAAAATGTATTTCCGCTAATGTATCTAAAAACTCTATGTCTCGGAGTTCAATATGTCAAATTTAAAATACCCATCATTTACTACAGGTTTCAACAATCTGTTTATTTTGATGAAAGAAAACTTTGTTACTTTGAATTATTTAATGTCAAAGTCAGAGCCCTCCTTAGATGAAAAAAAAAGATGACAAATAAATCTTGAAAATAATTAAGACCTAACTTTACGAAGTGCGATAAAATATTTTTTGTACTTGTGAGTTAAGACGATTGGGACATGTCATACATCTTACTCGTGTTAAAAAGTGTTTGAACTATTTCCAAATTTGATAGCTGTCAATTTAACTATTTTGGATTTACTGGCGAACAACGAAATCCACAATTTTAGGTTTTTCGCCGATATTTTCCTCTAAAACTTTTATCCTTTTGCTGTAGTTATAATAGGAGCGGAGATCCCCGTATAGAGAAGCGAATGTCACACACATCGTATAGCCCAAAAAATATTTTGTTTAATAGTTGTGGTTTCGTTTCGATTGCCTATTTTATTAACACTGGAAACTTAACAACTGTTCAATAATTTTATATTATTTTGAGCACTTTGAAACGTAATTTTTGCAAAAACCTTAAAAAATTTATATCCCATGATTTTTTTTAGCTAGTAAACTAGTTAACTAGTAAAACCCTCTTGCAAGAAATGTGTTTAGTTGTTTATAAAAATCCAGATAAAGTTTGCATTGCTGGAAAACTAGTACCGAAACAGAAACGTTTTTGGATGCATTATTATGAAACTTAAAGTGTTTTGCTATCTGTAGCACCAATGGTTTTTTTTTAAACTATAACAACTGTTAGAAAAACTTAAAGTTTCTTATATATCCTTCATAAAAATCGGTTATCCAATAACAAAACCTTTAGTTGCTTTATTGAAATTCCATCTTGGCTTTGGTGTTGAATTTATAAGTGGGATTTGGACTCCTACTGTCACCAGAACAGGCCTATGTTGGCTATGGGGAAAGCATGACAGCACTTTCCTTTCTGTTGCTATGGGGGTGTTGTCTAGTTTTCTGGTGACAAAGCAAAGATCGGGGTTAGAGTCTCTGTTCCAGGCGGCGGATTTAAATGTCCCTGGCTGCTTGGCATCGTGAACTAGGTAGAGATTACTGATCTCCGCCCAGCTGGTTAATTCGGTACCAGCAACGTCTTCATTAAGGTAGCCCCAGGCAGTGCTGTGGCTGTTGAAGTCACCAATATAGACCGCGGGGCGAGTTTCCATTGGTAAAGCTGCTTCCGGCTAGGTCATACCAGGCGGCTTGTACACATTGATTATCGAGAGAAGGCCGATCTTGACGGTTATTATGTAGACACTGTTCGTGCACTTGGATGATACTAAGGATGCATTTTTTATAGTGCTCCTGACGTATGTGGCTGAGCCATGGGCATGATGGAAAGTAGTTGCAAGCCCAAAAATTATGACAGATTCTGAGGAGCGGTGATCGCCGCCGCAAAAAAGTCCATCTCTCGAGGATATAGAAAAGAGTACATTCCCGGCTGGCATGAGGACAGTCAATCCTTATATGAGGAATATCTCAACAGCGGAGACCCTGATCTCGCTGACGAAATACTGCAGAGCCTTGACAACGCTAGACGTGATAAATGGTTCCAAACCGTCGCCAATGTGGACTTCGAACACTCGAGCCGAAAAGCCTGGAGCCTCATAAGAAAACTCGGATCAGGTTCTCCACCTGTGAGAAACGACCCCGCGGTATCCGCAGATCAGATAGCGGACCATATTGTTTCAACTTCCAGAGCGCCCAACGACAAAAGTCACACAACCAAAATTAGAAAAGAGCTATCCCAGCTAAAAAAGACCATCACAAGAGAATCCGATTTCGCTAAACCCTTTTCAACAGAGGAGATTGAAAACGCTATAAAGGAAATGAAAACAGGTAAAGCGCCCGGCTATGATGGGTTGCATGTAGAGTTCTTGTCCTATAGTGGATCTGTAACAAAGGCTTGGCTGGCTAAGTTCTACTCTGAGATTCTCCACAATGGCTATATACCACCAAAACTAAAAAACTCAAAAATAATCTCATTGCTCAAGCCTGGTAAAGATAAAGACAGACCCGAGAGCTATAGACCCATCGCATTACTCAACTCCTGCTATAAACTACTGGAAAAACTTATATACAACCGCATATCCGATATAATCATGCTGCATATCCCAATAGAGCAGGCGGGATTCAGAAAAAACCGAAGCTGCTGCGATCAAGTTCTCAACCTTACAACCTTCATAGAAGCTGGTTTCCAAAATCAGGAGAAATCGGCAATCGTTTTCATAGATTTAACCGCGGCTTATGATACGGTCTGGCGCCAGGGTCTTATATACAAACTTCTGAACATCACCAGATGCAAAGCAACTACAAGCCTTCTCGACAACATGCTTAGCAATCGCTCATTCCAAGTGCATTTGAATGATCAATCAAGTAAAAAGAGAGTACTAAATAATGGTTTACCGCAGGGGTCCGTCCTTGCCCCTCTGCTATTTAACCTTTATGTGTCAGACCTACCTGAAACTCGCTCTAAAAAATTTAACTATGCCGACGACATGGCTCTTGGCTTCAGACATAAAAACCTGCACGTTGCAGAAGATGTACTGTGCGAAGATCTGATGGCCATGAATGATTTCTTTGCGAAATGGAGATTGAAACTTCTTGCTTCCACCTTAACAACAAGTTGGCGAACACAGAACTGAACGTCGAATTTAACGGAACCCGACTAAAACATAACAAGCACCCGAAATACCTGGGCGTCACCTTAGACCGTACACTCTCCTTTAAAAAGCATTTAAGCAACGTAGCCGCCAAACTTAAGACAAGAAACAACATAATATCCAAACTGTGTGGCACCCGCTGGGGTGCCTCAGCCGAAACGCTCCGATGTTCCGTTCTTGGCCTTGTTTACTCCTCGGCCGAATACTGCGCTGCTGTCTGGACGAATAGCCCTCACTCAAAACTAGTGGATGTCCAAATCCACAACTCACTTAGAATGATCAGTGGAACCATCAAATCCACACCCACGTATTGGCTCCCCGCGCTCTGCAACATTCCACCAGCCCATCTCCGGCGATCGGAAGCTCTCTGCAGAGAATTTAGAAAAATACAAAACAATCCCCAACTCCAAATCCATGAAGATATCGCTCAACTAGGGCACAGGCTCCGCTCCGGAAAACCTCCAATTCAAACAGCGGCAGCGCTTATATCCAATAACTTCCACCTACAAGACGAATGGGCTCAGATGTGGCAAAATAGCGTTCCTCCAGGTATCTGCAGCGTTTTCCACGTTAACCAAACTGTTCCAGGTTCTACACTACCGAGAGGAACCTGGTGCTCCCTAAATCGGATCCGTACAGAATGCGGTGTTTGTGCGGACTCTCTGCACAAATGGGGCAAATCAGAAACCAACTGCTGCGACTGTGGAAGGCGACAAACCATCCGCTACCTAGCATACGAGTGCGAAAAAAGACAGAGCCAGTGTACGACAACAGCCTTCTTGAGGGCCACTCCATCGGCTGTTGTTTGGATTGAAAACCTAGATATTAAGATTTAACCTTTGTAAACATTAACATTTAAAACTAGACTGTGTTATTGCCATACGATAATAATAATAATAATAACCTTTAGTTGCGAAAAATGTCATTTTAAATGCCGCTTTTGACCAGCGACGTTCGACAACCAACGCGGCTGCTGACTTTAGTTCAATAGTTTTCAGTGTTTGCTTTTACATAACCTTCACAACGTTTATTGGAAGTTATACACGAATTTATTATTGTTTTGATGATGATGATCTGTTAAACACTACAAAATATTCCTTATTATTTTTTGGTAATAAAAATAAGAATATGATCTAAAATTCTTGAAATATTTTAATTGAAGGCACAGTGTTTAACTTCGTTAAAAATGCTAAAAACTTGGGCATTTATTTAAAAAGCATATTTCAAATGACATATACGGCATTAAAAAAATTATACAGTAACAGACAAATTTTAGGTCAAAAGTTAAGGAAAAAGTTGTGCGTTGACTTATAAAATTTTAATTACTGTAATTTTCTATATGTGTCTGTTTTTTGTATGGCTTAAGAAAATATGATGATAATTCTAATTTGTATGAACAGATTGGGTGGTTTAGAATGGAATCTCGTAGAAGACTACATTTATGTACTTTTTTAGTAAAGACTATAAATGCACCTCCATTCGGGAACGAATAGTGTTTAGGCTCGAAATACATAACAGGAATGTCAAGGCTAAGGAAGTTTTAACTATGCCTCAAATTTAAATTGTAATACGTTTAAAATTAAATATAAGAAAGAATTACTGCATCTACAGAATTTGCTGTAGAGATTCGTAGCTGGGATAGGACGTCATCATCAATTTCTTTTTTAATTTTGTTTAGTAATATTGTGCTACACACTGGTTCAGTAGAGTAGCTAGGCTGCGCCAGTTGACGGTACAACTAATTGGTCTCTGTATTATGTATGTTTGTTATGCTATTATCTGAAATAAAAGTCGCTTATTATTATTAATAAGTCATAAAAATATCGTATTTTAACTAAAGTGGCAATAATACAGTTCTTTTTCCGCGAATTAGAGAATATATTCGGAGGTCATAAAACTACAAGGCGAATAAGAAATTAGTTAGTGGCGACAAGTGCGACACGTGCAGAAAATGTCATAGGCGCTAAGTGAAACAATTTTAACGGCTTGATAGTCTAGGTATTAGCTAATAGCTTTGCTTTGGAGGAAATAAAAGTTTTGTCCTTTTAATTTAGGACTTACGCTTGTATAAAAATTTTATATCTCGGTAACGGTGGGTCCTACAGGACAGGTATAGAACGAATCAGCATCAAATTTTTTTTTGTCGTCTGTTCTCAGTTATCCGTTCCCGTGTTTTGGTTTTTCAGGAATAACTTTGAAAATTGAAATTTACCTCCTTTTTAATCCTCCATAAGATACATAAGCCTTTGAGAAATGGCTCCGATCAAACTTTTTTTGTGATTTTCGACTGTTTTTTGAACATCGCTATGAAAACGACTTCAAGTTTGGCTACGAAATAGCGTGCAGTCCCCTAATGGAATTCATGGGGGGTTGAGTGAACGGGAAGTATTTTGAAAAATTTTAAAATCGCGTTTGCATGGGTCTAAGAAAAAAATAATTTCTTGAAAACGGTTTAGATTTAGTGCTATAACTTTTATTTCAAGCATTTTTTCGATTATGTACAGAGTTTTTCAAATATGGACAAAAATTTAAAAAACCCTGAAAATTGTCCTCTTACAGAGTACGTTATTGGCCATAATTCAGAATTCGTAAAAAATATGGCTAATTAGTTTACACAGTATTATAGGCTACACGAAGAGCTACAATTTTTGTATTTACGGTTTTCGAGATATTTAAAAAAATACATATGAAAATCGCTATTTGTCGCACTCGATCTAGACGCGATGACGCGATTCATTAGTACTGCGTCGTTAACGAAAATAATTATTTTCTCGAACACCATGTACTGTATTGGAAAAATTCGTGGACCTGGAAGAGTGGGAGATTCAGGGCTATAAACTCTACTTGGAATATATTTTGAATTGAATACAGGGTGTTTCGTTTTTAAGGTAAATTATTCGTTTTAAATGAAAAACTGAAGAAATAAGATTATTTGGTATAAGCAGTATCGTAAACTGTATTGAAAGCTACAATTTACTGATTTATAGTTGCTGTCAAATTATGCACGGTGCGCGGGATATCTGAATAAAAATATTATTGTAAATGATTATGAATTTCGGAGCTCGTAAAAGGCACTTCATACAGGGTGTGCGTATAATAAAATAACATTCTATACTTTTGATTTTTTAAAATCTTTTTAGTATGTCAATCCCCACTCCATTGCTGCAATGGTCTTTTTTGAGTGGACAACAAAATCCGAGCTGACTGTCTTTCTCCAGAATACACATAGTTTCTTAATTTCGATTTATTCCTGTGAACGTAAACTGTTATTCTATTCCACCCGCGGCTTAAAAAAAGGGAAGTTCACGAAGCATTGAGTTTCTCACATTTACAAAAAATATTTTTTTTTCCCAAACTAGCATTATTTTTTAATATTTTTTTAAATTATAGTACTGTTTTTAAAACTATTTTTAGTGTGCAGAACGTCGCAAACTTTACTACAAAGTTTTTTGCCACCTACCGTTTACGAAAAGTACGAAAAAACGATTTGCAATACGCACCCTCGAAGCTCCGCCATTTTCCCGAACCAAACCACGTACGAAATTATGCAAACATAGAAGAAAAAGTCGCCGTTTTCGACCAAATAGACTTTCGACCCGAATACCTGCGTGTGCCTCCACGGAAAAATCCTTCATTCCATGAATGCTAACTAAGGGCGACGGGCGAGATTTTTTTTCTTTTTTTTATTTGCGAGGCATCCCGTGCCGTTGTGACGGGCATAATAAAAATCTAATACGATTTTCGGAGGATTTTGCGCGGTCCTCTTATTGCTATATTTATCGTCCGACGTGGGATATGGAAATCGGTGCTCTTTTTTTTTCGTTTTTCGCTCTCGGGAGGGGAGGTATTCAATTTTAATACTTGGACGCTTCTTCGGTCAGCGCTGGCAAGGACGGCCATTTTTTTTGGCAGCTGTAGACGTTTGGGATCCAAACAAAACGATGTGCCAATGAGTTTACAGGGCTGTTTCAATTTTTGTATAATTTTTAATTATTTAAGGCTATTTAACAGAGAGCGTGATCATTTATCAATAGCGTACTCCTAAATTATTATTTCATGGTGCCATATAGCACGAGGATCTAAACATTAGTATCCCACTTTTTATGCTTGATCTTAAATAAGGGGTGTTTTTTTTCGATGTATAAAACTTTAAGTTGCAATAAAACAACGATGGATTATTCGATTGACATGAATTTTATTTATCCGAAAGATAATCTTGTGGCATTACATTTGAATTATGCTTTCTGGCATATGACCGCCACGGCTGGCGTGGATGTAGTCCAATCTGGACGTCCAATTTTCGATGACTTTTTCCAACATTTGTGGCCGTATATCGGCAATTACACGGCGAATCTTGACTTCCAAATGGTCAAGCGTTTGTGGCTTATCCGCATAGACCAATGACTTTACATAGCCCCACAGAAAGTAGTCTAGCGGTGTTAAATCACAAGATCTTAGAGGCCAATTCACAGGTCCAAAACGTGAAATTAGGCGGTCACCAAACGTGTCTTTCAATAAATCGATTGTGGCACGAGCTGTGTGACATGTTGCGCCGTCTTGTTGAAACCACATCTCCTGGACATCATGGTTATTCAATTCAGGAATGAAAGAGTTAGTAATCATAGCTCTATACCGATCACCATTGACTGTAACGTTCTGCCCATCACCAGTCAGTTTTTCTGGATGTAACGGTGTTTCGACATACACTTGAAGATTAGCTTCGCTCCAAATGTGGCAGTTTTGTTTATTAACGTAGCCATTCAACCAGAAGTGCGCTTCATCGCTAAACAAAATTCGCTTATGAAAATCGCTCATTCGACGAATCTACGCCTTACTTGATGATTGTTTGGCTTCAATTCTTGCACGAGTTGGATTTTGTAAGCACGTAAACCAAGATCCATAAATCCAAAATCCAAAATCTTCCATAAAGTGGATGGACACAGATTCAATTCCTGTGCTCGATGGCGGATGGACTCATTCGGGTCTTCCTCAATGCTACGCTCTACAGCAGCAATAGCTTCTTCTGTACGCACCGTACGGCGTCTCTGGGGATGCGAGATATCAATAAGAGTAAACGTGGTGCGAAAACGTTCCATGGTTAATCGAATTAACTGCCCTGATGGACGATTTTGTCGACGATAAAATGGACGTAGTGCGCGATACGTAATCCGCACAGAACCATTATTTTCGAAATAAAATTGCACTATTTGCAAGCGTTGTTCAGGCGTGAGTCTATTCATGATGAATTGCCAAACCAAACTGAGAATAAATCACTTGACTGCAGTTAAATCGGTCTCCATCTTGAACAGTAATGCCAACATAAAGTTCTATACATCGAAAAAAAACACCCATTTTTAGCACAATTTAATTTTAAATAAAATACTCATAAGTAAGTTAAATAGCCTCTAACAATTAAAAAACTGTGAAAGCATTAGTGAATATTCTCTCTAACGTCGATATTATTCAAGCTAGAGACACCACACCATTACGCTCGGTTTGACTTCACAGTAATCATCAAACTTCAAAACAAACAAATAAAAAGACAAATTAAAAATTATAGGGGAAAAGGCATTTTTCGCTTTCTTAGGATTTGGAATATTTATTATATTTTTAATTATGGATAATAAAACCTTGGTTGATGTTGCTTAGTTTGTCGTTTATTTTAATTTTAATAGCTATCATATTCATAAAAAAGTACCGCAAATAAATAAATCTCTCCTACTACTATCAAACTTAAACAAACTACTAACAAAGCATATAAGCCCAATAATCTCAATAATCTCAGAAAATTTTTTCAGTTCTATGCCTTAACCACTTGTAAAACATTTTTTTTTAT